TTTAATAAGAAAATTCAGGTTAGCATATTTTCTTAATCAATTTTTCTTTGACTAAGTCTTAAAGAGAAATAAGCGGCCAGTCTAATATTTTGTTGCACAACTTAGAGAAAGTTTTTTTTTTTAAAAAAAAAAAAAAATCCAAGCTGGCTAGTATTCTTGTGTCGAATTTTCTTTTGTAATATTGATCAATTCAAAATAAATAAATGACCAGTCACATATTTTGTCACACGACTTGAAGAAAGGTATTTCTTTTTTTAAAAAAAAAAAATCAGGATAGCTTGTGCTCTTGTACTGAATTTTTTCTTGTAAATATTGGTTAATTCTTATTTTAAATTGGTTAATCAAAAAATAAGTGGCCAGTCAGATATTTTGCAGCACAATTCAGAGGGGAGACGAGATATATTTTTTTTAAAAAAAGAGGTATACTATATATACTATATTGTTTTTTTTTTAAAAGTGTGATTTTTCTTATTTTGATCAAAAAAATGGGCAGACCGGTCAATTTTTAGACGAAAAAAGCAAGCCAGTTGATACTTCGAGAAGAATTATTATTTAAATCTTCAGGTTTGATTATATTCCTTTAATTTTTTATACAAATATTACCTAATTCTAATTTTAATTTTTTTAAAAAAGCATATTTTACAAGGCATACCAACAAGTATTTTTATAGCACAATTTGGAGAAAAGGTTTTTTTTCGAGAAAGTTTTTTTTTGCTAAAAAAAAAGGTTAGATTATTTATACTTTCATTTAATTTGCTTTGAATATGTTGACTGATTCTTTATTATGATTAAAATTAGATAAATTAGCACATATTTTATGATATAATTGTGGTGTGTTTTTTTCTTTGAAATTTTATTAAAAATTTTAGATTAGTATACTCTTATATAATCTTTTTGCAAGCATTAACTGATTTCTTTTTTTACTAGTGATAGGAATATTAACAAGTATTTTGTAACGCTATTTGGTAATAAGGTATATTATATTCTTGTATCAATTTTACTTCTGAAAATATTGGTTGATTCTTATTTTGTTATATACAGATATATTAACGATTATTTGAAGATAATTTTTTCTGAAATTTTTTTATTTCAGGTTAGTTTTTATTTTTTAAAATGATTAATTTATAATTAATTCTCGTTTTTAATATGTTAATTAATAAATAGACAATTTAATGATTCATGATAGAATTTTTATAAAAACAAAACTATCCAATAGAAGTAACGAATAAATTTATTTGGGTCATTGCAACATGAATCTCATTGTAGAAAATAACAGCATTAATGAGCAGTCATATTGTAGTGGATGTGATAAATTTCTTTCTTCAGAATTGTTTATAATTAATAAGAAGACTTATTGCACCTGCAATATATGCCGCAGTCAGAATAAGCTCTATAAGCAATTAGCAAATAATGAACAATTGCCTGATAATTTAATTAAGATTCATGATCTTGGCGATATTATATCACAAGAATTTGAAATTGTTAAAAATTCTACCAGTAATGAAGATCAATCAGAAGATAAAGAAAACTGAGATAATGTGGCATTTACATTTTCTTGTAGCGTCAATATTAATGAGTTAGAAGGTAGCCCTAAGGAAAAGGCAAGTCATATTATAGAGATTATATCCAATGTAGATGAATATAAATGGATGTAAGTATATATAACTAATTCTTTCTAAATATATTTAATTATATATTATCTGATCAAATAAACTTAAATTTTATTTAATTGCATATTAACTTACTATATTTTATTTTAATAATTTAAGATACTATAATTCGTATAATTCTAAAAAATCTTCATCGATAGTTTATTATTATTACTGTTCTCAAAGAGATTCTATGATTGAAAAACCAAAAAAACATTCTGATCCTAGCAAACACTATGACAAATTATCTATAGTTCATTTTGCTTGTGAAGGTTATATAAAAATTACCATTTATCAAGACCTATTAATGGCTGAAATAAATATGCAGCATAAATTACATCCAATACAACAAGATTTTTCAATTTCAAGTGAAATTAAAGATTTTATTATCAATAATATTGATTTACTCCCACGTGAAATTTACAAATGCCTTGTTGATCACAATTTAAGCATTAATATCCGACAAAAACAAATACATTATTGGTAGAATGAATTGGGTAAATGTCGATATAAACGTGATAAAGATCCTTTTATTTCAGCTCAAAAATGGTTAAATGAACAATCTTATAAGATTATATTTCAAAAAGAAACCTCAAAAGCCTTGGGATTCTTAACTAAAATATGGGATACTGTACAAAACCTGCAACTCAAAATTCATGAAATTGAAGTTGATGCCACATGTAATTAAATTTATTTAATAAACTTGTATTGTGAAATATAAATAAAAAATTAAAATTTTTTTATTTTAATTTTTTTTACTTATCAATATAAATATTATTTATTTAGATAATACAAACAATTTAAAGTTTGAATTGTATATTGTGCAAGCTGAAATTGATGGCGCAGGTTTTTCATTAGCATATTTGTTTTTGGAGAACAATGGAAATTGTAGAAATGGCATTCGAACTGGTGTCATTATAGATTTTTATTGCAATTAAAGATATGTAGGCTTGAACCAGAGTTTTTTATAAGCGATAAGGATTTTTCTCAAATCTCTGCTGCCAAATATGTATGGAAAGATATTAAGATTCAGTTGTGCCTTTGGCATATAAAGAGAGAAGTAGGAACCAGATTAGCAAATAATAAAAAACCGCAAAATATTAATTACAATAATGTAACAGTACACCAATACTTTCCTTTTATTGATTCATCATTTCATCCAAATTTGAATGATGATAAAATTCAATTTTGTCCGAAAAAATTACGTTTAACAGTGTGGAATCTTATGAACAAATACTTACATTTATACCCACTTATTCCAACAACTAATGGTCAATTTTTGTTATCAATTGAAATTTGGACAATAAGTATACAAAAGATCTATAATTTTTGTAAGCAAAATTCTTTACTTTGGCTCTGGATATATATGTGAAATGATTGGTATTGTCCTGAACGTTGGACTTTGTAGTTTCGAAGTGGATGTAAAAATAAGTTTTCTATTTTTAAAACTAATATGTTCGTTGAAGCTCATTGAAAGGTGTTAAAACGAGATTTTTTATATAAATTTTTCCTTCCACGCTTAGATATGGTAATATTTATTATTATGAAACAAGTTATACCAAGTCAGCAATGAAAATTTGATTAAATGTTTGTAGCTAAATGGAAAATTGCTGATTGGCAAAAAATATTCAAAAGAGAGTGGAAAAATCTTGCAAATCAAACTATTAATAATGTATATACAACTGATATTAATAAATGGATTTGTGGATGCTTTGCATTCATGACTAGTCGATTTTTTATATGCAAACATCTAGTACAACAGGAGGGTGAAGTAATAGCACAATTTTTTAATCAAGTTTGTCATCATCACCATTATCCTTTTATTGATACTTTACCTGTATTAACTGATAATATTGAACATACTAAATTGGTAAATAATGTTGAACAAACTGTAACAAATTATCAAACTATTGATGATTCACAAGCTTGTAAAGAATTATATGCTTAGCTTATAGAAGTACAGAAAAAACTCTCGAGATTCTTAAAGACTAACAAGATAAAAAAAATTATATGTGGCCAAAAGCTGTTAAACGAAATTTTAACATGTTAGAGCAAATGACATCTAAAATTACTTCATTCAAACAAAGAAAAACAATGTTTCACACATTTAAAGATCATTCATACTGTTATAGAATAAGTTGTAGTATTAGTTTTATTATTAAGTTTATTATTAGTTATTATTAGTATATTATTAGTTATAT